ACTGCACTCCAATCTGGGTGACAGAGTGAGACTCCAACTCAAAAAAAAAAAAAAATTATAATAGCTCTTAAAATTAATATACATTTTTGTTACCCCAGTATATGTACACACATACACTTATTTCCTTACATTCAGTATGTGTTGCTCAAATTGCTCACCTGGGTTCTGACTACTTCACTGTCAGGCAGATATGTTAGTTCCTGACCCCGTGCTCCTTTTCCCACCCTGAGTATGGCGACCCTTGTGGTTTAGTCCTCAGTCTGTTTTCTCTCACTACAATCACTTCTTCAAGCATATCACCTACTCATTTGTCATGTCCATATAGGTGATGTTCAACTCACTATCTCCAATCCAAATCTTTGGGGCTCTGCTTTACTTCTTCAGCTGCTTACCAAACACATCTTCTTGGGTATCATTATCACTCCCAAATCTTTTTTCTCTAGAGTCCAACCATCATTTTTCATGACATCTTCTTTTTCTATGGCAGAGCTTACTATTCTTCCAGATTTCTTTCTTTCTTTTTTTTTTTTTTAATCAGAGTCTCACACTGTTGCCCGGGCTGGAGTACAATGGCACACTTGCTGGGCTCAGGCAGTCTTTCCTCTTCAGACTTCCACGTAGCTGGAACCACAGTCATGTACCACCACACTCAGCTATTTTTTTAAGTTTTATTGTAGAGACAAGATCTTGCCATGTTGCCCAGACTGATCTTGAACCTGTGGGCTCAGGCAGTCCTCTCGCCTCAGCCTCCCAAAATGCTGGGATTACAGGCGTAAGCCACAGCAGCCAGCTCTAACTTCACTTTTTGCCCACAGTCTTGCTTTCTTCCAGTTTTTCCTACACCTGCTGCCACTTTCATAATATCACTCTCTGCTAAACTGGCTCTAGATCTATCTGTCCATGCCCATTATATGAAAACGTATTGATCTGGTCAAGCTAGATCTATTTTCTTTTTCTTTTTTTTTTTTTTGAGTTAGAGTCTCACTCTGTCACCCAGACTGGAGTGCA